GCAGAAGATGCAATTTTGGTTGAGTATGTGACTAAGCATGGAGAGGGGAACTGGAATGCAGTCCAGAAGCATTCAGGACTTGCCCGCTGTGGAAAGAGTTGTCGTTTAAGATGGGCAAATCACCTGAGGCCAGATCTGAAAAAGGGTGCGTTCACTCCTGAGGAGGAGCGGCGTATCATTGAACTCCATGCTAAAATGGGAAACAAATGGGCAAGAATGGCTGCTGAGGTATGCCTCAATCTGTCTCTTTATTTTCTTTCTGTAATTAAGCGTGCCATTTTAAAATACCGACTCTGTTGCATTTAATTCTCTACCTCTTTCTATTTTACGTCACGGCAACTTCAGTGCCAATAGTTTTTTTTTTGGGGGTGCAGAAAAGTTAGGGTTTGAGCAAATTACAAGTACTTTCTGTGAGCATGATCTAAGAAGTGATGTTTCCAAAACTTTTCTGTGTTGGACTATGGCTGAAGAATGGTTATAAAGTTCAATCTTATTTGTGGATTTTGAGAGCTTTTCTGCTGCTTCAACTTTTAAAGGCCCCCTACCCTCCCTTTATGCATGGTTTCATACAGGGGTGATAAGGAAATGCATATAATTTTTGTCAGGTAGAACTATAGCGTAAAATACTGAGCAAATCCAAGCTTCTATATTCCCAAGCCTGTATTGTGGCAGAATTTAGTCTGAAGTCCCTGTAAATGCCTTTAGTAATGGTCAGCAATGTAATGTTGCTTTATTAATTTCAGGACTTATCATGGAATAAGGAGTCTACTTCTCTACTGTCTGCTCAATTCGTTTTCCCTCTAGAAGTCAGAAGTCAGAATACAGATGTTTCCATTGACTTTTCTCTTCCATGTAAAAATGTTGAATCCTGGAGTTCTTTTTTAACGTTTTTTGAATGCATCCCATACTAGCAAAGGGTGTGGTTTTCTTCACATTTACGGAATGGATAGTATATTTGGATCTTGCCATTGTGTTAATCTTTGTGCTTATTCATATGCCTGCTCTTTCTGTTTTAATGTTGTATTTTCTTTCAGTTACCTGGCCGTACAGATAATGAGATAAAAAACTATTGGAATACTAGAATCAAGAGACGACAGCGTGCTGGCTTGCCAATCTATCCTCCTGATATCTGTTTGCAAGCTTTGAGCGAGAGCAAACAAAGTGAGAATCTGTCTAGTTTCTCGTCGGTGGAGACACAACATCCTGATCTCTTACCAATTAACAGCTTTGAGATTCCAGCTGTAGAATTCAAAAATTTGGAACTCAATCACCAGTTGTATCCATCACCACTTCTCGATGTTCCAGGTCGTGGTTTGCTTGATATTCCTGCTAGTAGCCTGCTGGCCCAAGGTCTTCATTCTTCCTATGGCGGCAAAATTTTGCTATCAGCAGTCCATCCAACAAAACGTCTTCGACAATCTGAGTCCTTGTTCCCTGGCTTGGCTACCAGTTTTACTGGTGCCTTCACAAACTGCAGTAAATATCACAATGATGGTTCTGCACAGAATCTTCAATCATTTGGGATCACCTCTGCATATGATCAGAATCTAACTTCAGACAACCAATCAACATCCTGTGTACTTCCTGGCAGCCATGCCCTTCTAAATGGCAACCCCTCCTCCTCGGAGCCCTCATGGGCAATGAAGCTGGAGCTCCCTTCACTCCAAACCCAGATTGGTAGTTGGGGCTCACCTTCTTCCCCACTGCCTTCCCTTGAGTCTGTGGATACTTTAATCCAGTCTCCCCCAACTGAGCACACCCAATCAGGTAGTCTCTCGCCTCGAAATAGTGGCCTGTTAGACGCTGTACTTTATGAATCGCAGTCTCTGAAAAACTTCAAGAGCAGTTCGTGCCAGCATATGTCTAGTGTGTCCATGGCTCAGGGAGAAGTAATGGATAACTCACTGCAGGATCTTCATGAGGCAGAATGGGAAGCATATGGTGACCCCATATCTCCTCGAGGCCACTCTGCTGCATCAGTGTTGAGTGAATACACCCCCATCAGCAGAAGCTCAATGGATGAACTTCAGTCACTTGAGAATACACCAGGTATGAATTTTGTTAATTTGTTCTTATGATAATTGAGTTGATCTCCAGATTAACACTTCCGGCTGCCTTGGCTTGACCGTGACTCGTGTAATTATGAAGGAGGCAAAGTTAAACAAGAAGCAGAAGAAATGGTCCCAACACAGTTCTGTGGAAATGATGATGCCTTCAACTCAAACAACATGATCTTCTCAAGGCCAGATTTTTTACTAGCATCGAACTGCTTTGGTCCCAAGGGAGAGTACGGGAAAGAACAACTCCATGCTGAAAGATGCAGCTGGGGCACTTCTTGGTGACAATTTTGGCTTGGACTACAGACAAATTTGCACTATATTGTCCTCTCAGATCAAGACTGGGTGTGGTTCTCTTTGCTGGATAATCTTCTATCTGGGCTTCTTTCTAAAGTCTAGGAAGTCTCTTGCATTTTTAATGCATTTGACTGCTTCATTGTTACTGTTATTGTCGTTGTGAAGTAAAGACGAAATATTTACATTCATTAGAACCAGTTTAGACATTGTAATGGCCTTCTTCCTTGCCACTCCAGGGATTGTCAGCCATATTCACTTTTTGTTTGGTAAAGATGGTACTGAAAACTTTTCTGCTCATGTTTGGAAAACTGTCTGCTCAAAACAAGTTCTTGGTTCGCCGCAATAAGCATCTGCGACGCTACAAGATAGCGCTCCTACTATTTTTTGGGCTGCAGATAAACTTGTGTATGAGCCTTAAAATTAGATAATTTGTCTGTTTCATTGCTTTAATTTTTGCTCCTTCAAGCTCAAAAAATGAAGCCAACTACTACCCTTCTCAATCAAATGCTAGTGCAACCACACCATTAACGGCCAAGATCAGTCGGGGAGAGATCAGGTTGTTCTCTTCAACTGATCTCTGCCGTTGAATGCTCTCTGCGGTTGTGCAAGTGCAGGCACAGAGAATTTGGGTCCATTGCCAAATCCAGATTGGATCAAGCTAATGTGGTCAAGATTTGGGTCTCTGCAATTGCTTTAGTCAGCAATCATGTCTTATGAAAACAATTAGCTTTTGATGTCAAAATAACCACCAGTTTGGCATGAGAAAGGGTATCAAAAAAATTCTGACCGTCTAGCAAAGATTTGGCCTCAAACCCACTTGTGCAGAGAAACCGTGCAGAGAAACCGGATCCAAGGCCACGTCTGGTTCATTTTGCCAGCCTAAAAGGATCCGGCACAGAGTCAAAACTCCACTTTGCTTTTGCGTCTGCCTGCTGAATAAAATTTGTAGTGCTTAAAAATGATCTAAATAAGGATTGTTGTTTTTCTATTTTGGTGAGAGAGCCCAGAAAATTCTAGGCCCAGTAAATGCTACATGTTAATGTGGTATTGTAAAATCATTTTATTCTAAGTTAAGTTGATTCCTGTATTAAGTACTCCCTTGTACTGGTCAGTAAGAAGATGTTGGGGTAGTTTCAAAATTTGTTTAACAGCTTTAGATGGTTCAAAACTTTATAGAGTAAGTGACCATTACCTAAATGTGTCAGTCATAAGGCTAGAATTGCTCTTTGAAAGTAGACTGTGAAATGAACAACAAATTGAGGAATAAGCCAATTTTTTTTTTCCATAAACAACTGGAAAATAAAGACAAATCATGGTACAAAATACCTCTTTCTCTAGATTACCTGTAAGTAGTCAAACTACATATGAGCCAAAAAATACCATTGACAATTACAAATTTTCATGTATTATATTAACAAGACAGTGCTGTCTTTTTATGCTCTTTTTCAACCCCAAAGAAGCAAAGTAAATAAAGAAAGAAAAAAAGAAGGGACCCTCATTAAATCTTTTGACAACCATGACCAGGAATCTAGGGGGCTAGAGAGGCCATTTTCTTCATGAGTATATTTATTTATCCATCTTCCAATAAAAAAAAAAAAAAAGCTGTGATATTTTTCCTTTTACCTTTTCTAATTGAGGAAGATAATAGAAGAAAAGGGAACTATTGGTGAGACTAAAGGCATGGGCAAAATCTTTTGTTTGGTCCTCTAAACTTTTTATTAAAACAATTATAGTCCCTAAACTCGTATGTTTCAGTTAAATTAGTCCATAAATTTTTAATTTCTAGCTGATAGCGTCCTTTTAATCAAGGCTGCAGCTAAATACAGTTTCTTCAAATGTGTTGGCATAATTGTATCAAGCTTCTTTAATAGTCGATGCTTCTTATTTTCTATTTAGAAGTTTTTCAAGTGTAGTCAAATTTTAGTTGTTTACTTGTTTAAGATTTAATAATTTTATCCTATTTTATCAACTAATAAAGAGATAAATACATTTAAAAGTTTCAAATTACACATTATCCAATACAATAAGTACTCGTTGAATTATACTTCCAAACAATATACTTGAAAGCACTTAAACGCATAATAAGCACTTTTATTAAAAACTCTATCGGAAAAATATTTTTCAATAAATTACCGCAATCCCCAGTGAACCTTTAATAATTTTTTAATTATCAAGTCATATTGACCGTACGTGGGGTGTTTTAGTATCGTTTTGTTGTATAATCAACTCAGCTTAGATAATTTATGTCGATCTCGATACGAGAGTCAGATGTGCTTCACGCGTTTATGATTATTGAACTCCTCTTCTCACACGTATCTTTATGCGTGCAAATATGCCTCCGCGGCATGGTTTAATCCTTCACGTGCTATCAAAATGTCCAATAAGAGGGGGCAATGATGAAAATTAGTCTCGTCTTTCAATTTAAAATAATCTTCCTCACCATTTTCTTCAATAATTGCGTCGTTCACAGCTTGGACCAATTGTATGACACATCAATGGCCGAGGGAGGAAAAGTCACTAAATAAACAATTAGTCATCTTTTTTTTTTGGTTTAAACACGTGCGTATCTAGTCTAGATAAGTATGTGTATACATATCTATTGTCCATATACACTGGATTAGTTGCACGATACGTACGTTAACTCGCTATTTGATACCAGGCTTGCTTATTTCTTGACTGAAAAGGGTCTGCAAAAGCATAAGCCAACATGTTGAATACTATAGGAGATTATTACCATCAAGTTAGCTGTTGCAGGCTGGCACCTTGCAAGGCATGCTAATAGGAGGGAACTTGAAACTCTATGAGCATCAAACTCGGGTCAACCACACCTAAACCATCTTCCATAGTCGATCCGATCCAAGGTTATGATGATTGGAAAACGACCGATCCTCGCAAAATTAGCAAGCTAAGATGTCAGCCCACATCAGCCTATATTTAAGCTCATAGTGAAGACTTTCGAAAGACATTAGTTTACATTTTTTTTTTTTGCTTTTCCAATTTACGCTCACCACAGAAGTACTATTCACGAAGACATGATATAACCTTGAAAAAAAAATTATTTCTACAGTATCATAAGGTACAACAATTAACAGTTTTCTACATCTAAAACTATGTCCTTTGCCTTACTCTCCTACCATTGGTATCACCACCGTCGGATAGCTGGGCCCAGACACTTCGAGACTTCCCACCGCCACTGCTACAATCCTCCTCGCAACCAGCTACAGTCTTCAAGATCTCAGATTGCAGAGAAGGGCAGTTCTCTCTGAGGTATTCAAAGCCATCTGACCGCATTACAGCTGCGTGAGAAGAAATTGGGTAAATGGGGAAGAATATTAATCACAAGAAACAGAAACAGAAACATTTGTGTGCTCAGTCATTGATATTACACAATTGTCTGAAAAATCAGACTGCAATATCCTCTTATTGAACTCAACAGCCTCAGCAGTTAAAACCTCATGCATAGTTGATCCTGAAATCTCAACAAAAAATGCTTAAATCTGTCTGACCCCTCTATGCTTCTGCCACCAAATATAATCCTCAGATGCAACGCTTAAGACTTCGCAAGTTTCTTGGTTATATATAGAAACAGCAAAATGTCCAAGCTACTCTACAAGGACCTCTACAAACACAGATCCCATCTTCAGTGCATTAGCCAAATACTATGACACCCAGAAACAGGAATCTATTCAAAAGAATGCCTTTTCCTTGTAAAGCTCCCTTATCTCTCCCAAAAACAATAACAAAAGGAAACAAAACAAATGGATAATTAGCTGTTAATTGGTACTGCAGCTGGGACATAACATTCTTAAGCAGGAAGCAAGGGTTTTTGGGTTTTAGAATTGAGGATTCCAATTTCCCAACACCTAAACATCTCTGTTTATCAGCAGTAAATGCCTTCCATACGCAAGATATGCAACCTCCGTAACAAGTAATTTCTGCCAATGACTTCTGTTTTGAGTTTTACATTTTTGTTGTGCCACTTGATAAGAAAAATGTAGAATATCTTACACATGCACCGCTAGAATCAGGCTGATTGTTAAGCACATTATCACAAAATGGAAATATAAATATTCTTCTCCATGGCTTGTGTCTGAAAAGAGGTTCAGAGGCCTGCAGTAAGTTTTATTTTCACGTTCTTAATATTACTTTTCATTCCACTTTCAGTCATCAAGAGTAAATGAACTTGGATTAACAGCCTGTCAGCACAAGTTTTCCTCAAAACACAATCTCTCACATGCAGCACCAGAATCTACTTATTGTGCTCAAATGGAGATAAAAGACGTTACTTTCCAGTGGACCTGAGAAACCACATGACAAGCCACACATTATGAATGTGTGCCCTTTAAGCAAGTTGAAGCTGCATCCCGATGAGTCAAATATTTTCTTCATACAGCCACTTAGCGAACATAAAAAAATTACAACTAGTGCTTTCTAAAAAAATAATAATAAAATAAGAGACTTGAATGGAAGAAAAGAACTAAACAAGGATGCAGTAGGTGTAGGTACAACTTCATCCCTCGAGCTATCAAACAAGTATTAACCTTTAAAAAGGAAGAAACAACAGCAAGGAAAGTTTTGTATCAACCAGCCTCAAAGTTTACCAAGAAACAAAGATGACAGGTAGCTAAATCTCAAGTCTAAAAACAAGTCGCTAGGATTATTAGTCTGACTTCCTGAATAGGAGACTCTTTTTTAGTGAAGCAGAAAGCACAGTTTACAGCTTCATCCTCTTAGGACTGCTTGATAGGCAGGAAGTGAAACTGCACTGGAATGTGATCTGGGATTTTAATTCCACAGAACATGAAATATTGAATAGTCTGAATGCCAATGCTCATATTTCCAGTTTGCTGTTGCAGTATTTGATTCAAAATAATGGGCACCAAGATTAGAATGTGTATAAACACTAAGTTGCTAAAATCATATGCTAAGATACGTATGCAATAAGTTACAAAACATTTCCATATTCCAATGTCAAGTTCAAATTTAAAGCTAGATGCTAAAAGATATGATCCCTTCTGGCATTGGTCAACTTTTGGGGAAATAATGTGACGCAATAGAACTTCCTGATAAGAATTTATGTTGAAGATTAAAAAAAAAAAAAAAAGAACAAAGTCTTTACTCAAATTACATGTAATTACATGACTAGTAAACCAATAGAAATTGAGCATCTTACCAGCAAGGTTTTCAGCAGCAAATCTGAGGCAAACAGCTTTTAATTCTGCAGCATGATAGCAGTCAGCCAGGGCAAGAGTTTTAGCAACAGAGTTCACACATATCTCCTTGCAGAGATAGGATTCACACATCCTTCTTAGCCTTCCCAAATCATATCGATCAGCTGCTGCCAGCAACTTCGCCGTCAATGAATCAGAAGGATTAGAAGAAGAGCTAGAAGCTACCAGCTCATCTTCTACAAGAGTATCTCTATATATGAAATGCAGCATAGCCTGTGCCACAATATATAATATTGGGGTGAAATTAATGAGAGAATCAGTAACCAAGTTAGCTACTCTTGCTAGGGAAGAGGAATAAATATTGATTTTCCAGCAGTTAACACACAGACAGGAAACCAGAATAAGAGAGACACACACACACACACATACAGAACATAAGTAGCAATTAAATTGTTTTGATAGTATAAGTTCAACTCATCACCTCAAAGACCTTGGGTTCCATATCGGTAACCATAATTTCCTGAAGATTGCCTTCTGAACCATCAAAAAAGTCGGAGCGAAATATAGGGGAACGAGCAGCCAATACCAATTTATGGGCATGAAATGTTTCACCAGACACGTTAAAAATAATGTCCGAACCTTCCATGTTTTCCAACAGCATGCCGAAATGTGCTCCAATATCAGAATCAGGGACCTGAATTGAATGTAGCCTTGAACAGTCTATTGCAGAGACCACGACTCCAACAGTACAATTGATTTTCAAGCAATCATCCTTGAGATAATCTGAACTTTCAAGCATTGCTCGTCTGAAAAACCGTTTATAACCCCTTCAAATAATTACAACTATACACAGTTAGTGGCATTTTTATAAAAAGGATTAGAAAAGACATAAGGAAATTTGAGGGGAGGGACAGGGAGAAGTTCAAAGACATGCCCCAAATGTGTGCAAGCAATAAGTAAGCACTATAGCTACATTATCAGTCAGAAAGGTCATCTTTAAACATTTAGTCCAAGTAGAAGTGCAAGGAAATAAAGTTAAAATGTATCTAAAGATCACTACTAAATCACGCCATCATCCAGAATGCTCAAACTGCAAAAGCGTAAGCATAGGACTCTTCTTCAAACATTCACAATGGGCCCGCATTTTTCAGCTCCAAGTAACTAATGAGTTGTGACCTGCAGCAATATAGAAACTAAAGATTGGAAAGGCAGAATATCCAATTTCCTCCCAATCTCTCGGTTTCTTCTTCCTGATTCAGGACACATAAAGATGAAAAAGAGACATGAGAAAAAATATATACTTCCCATTCATTTATATTTCTTTGGGCTAATTAAATATTCTAAGAAAGTTTTTTTTGTCCATATAATTCTACAACACGAGCAAAAAACCATATACAAAAACATAGACCACATCACACCCTTTTATAAGTCATAACAAGATGATATCTTATACAAAAAATAAGCAAGCATTAACAGCAAAACCAATGTCTCTATACAGCAGAAGAAACCAAGAAAAGAAGTCACTATTCTCAACCATGATCTAATTGTACAGTCAACACTGTTGATCCCCAAAATCTATGCGAATTGTATGACCAAAAAAATGAAAACTAGGCAAATAGTTTCTATGTTAAAGTGGTGACATAAAAATGAATGAAGTAAGAAGGCAACCCTTGGAAAATGACAAGGGATGTATCTTCACAGTGGGCATTGCCAAAGCATATGATAAACACGTGTACAACTACGCATGGTCATGAACATAGCAAACTCGAACAAGGCAAGTTCTTGAGCCTAATGTATTCTGCCACTAGCTTGCTTTTTTGATAAATACAACTACGCCAAATCACTTATACCTCGACCTTCTTGGCAAATGCAGGTCTAGATCCTTCTCTCGACCAGGTTCCCCAACTTCTACGATTAAAAAGTCACCTAATTTGCAAGATTCTGTCCAGGAAAATTTTCTCTTGAGAGGACAAAGGAGACTTATTGTTATCAATATATAACTGATTTAAAGGACACACTGCACTTTATCTGCTGAACTCAGAGGATGCCTTTCAGTTGGAGAGAAGGCAATAGGCAACCTCGTCACAGTCAACCACACCTTCCTCCATTCCTTATCCATCATGTATTCTACTTGTTTAGATTTTGAATACAAAATAATATCAATAGGAGAATATTCTGCTTCACTCCTCCAACTTGTCCAATTCAGGAGATAAAATATTGGGTCAGAAGTACTTTTTCCAGCACTAGAACTTGTTCTCGTCCTTATCTTACCAGTTAACCGCCAGTCATTTGACTTTCTGTCAATCACTTAACTTCTTAAAGAAAGTAACGACTGATTTTCCTGAGGTAAAATTAACACGACATATTAAATGACCTCATTGCAAGTTGAACACGCTGGTGAAGAAGTGCTAAAATGTGGTTGATTTCACAAGTTGATGCAGTGAAATCAGCACTGTTTCAATATCACCAAAAGAACTCTTCCAAATAAATCAAAATATTTGTACAACAAAATCAACAGAGTCTACAGCATCTGTGCATGTGCATAGCAAACTCCAAAAAAATAGTGAATCTCTCTATCTACTAGCATCACCTGCTTCACTTAATCGCAACATTATCATATAGAATCATTGTGCATGACATCTTGCCACGAATTTGCATAAAACAAACATGTACTTGAAACTCACAGATAATTAACCCTCTCAATCTCTCATTTGCCTATACATGAGCTATAATGAAACAGAATCCTGTGACACATGCCCGCAAAGATTTCAATTTTCAGCACATGATCGTCAATAATCAAACAACATAACAAAGCACAATTCAGCAATAAATCATACAGTTTGAATCGGAATGCCAATGAAAACTATCTACTAAATGCTGCCATTATATACAGCAAATGTATGTCTAGACATATAATAAATAAACTATCGACAAACCCAAAAAAAAAATATAAAATTTACATCAAAGTGTTCCTGAATTCGAACATCTCATTCAAGACAGCTAAGAAGCTGAAAAAGTGAGTAAAAATTTTACCACATGCTCCCACGGTATTTTAAGGTGTAAGGTCCACTCTCAAGCGAGCGATCGAAATGACTATGAACCTTATGTTTCCCTTTTCCACTCTGATCCATTAGCGTCAATTCAAACAAAGCCCTAACATCGGTGCCTTCACTCGCTAATGCGATGAAAACGGACACATAAGTCGAATTATCCTCGGGATTCTTGCCGTCAGGGTAGAAATAAATCGCCCATTGATACCCTCCGACTGTAAAATTATCGCTGGCGATGTGCTTACCGATTCCCATGCCTTTCGCCAAAGAATACCCCTGAATTACAAACTTATGGGACCCATTCACCGTCTCAGTGACGGAGCGGGAGCTTGTCGGAGATAAAAGAGCGTTTTTGTTGTCCGCAGACGGCGCAGCTGGCCTCTGGGGGTCTGTCATTTCGGTGACGGACTTTTTTTGGGGGAAATTTGGGAGAATGTGAGGCGAATTTTCACCAGGGAATGATCATTCGGGAAATGGAGGGATTAATTGAGAAAAAAGGGGTAAATTTGTGGAAGACGAGAGGAACAATTCGTTGGATTAGGGTTTTGAGTTTGGGGGCAGGAAATGATGACTTGGGGGATTTTATTTTTGGTGGGAGGTTTTGCTTTTTAATTGAGCGGTAGTGACTGACGGGTGAGTCAGAAATCAGAATTGAGGAGGGGAAAAAAAATTATATATATAATTCTTTCTTTTTTTCTTTTTTCTTTTTTCTAATTCTACTTCCTCTTTTTTGCCCTCTTTTTTTTCATTTCATTTTGTTTTGCAATTTGTAAAGAAAAAAAAAGAGGGGAAAATGATATAAGCAATATCACAATTTAAACATTTTTAGAAAGAAATCTCTTTTTTTTTTGTAAATATGGTGCTAGTTGTAGTTAATATATAACATGTAAAATTGGTATTTTGCACATTCATTTGCATTATTCATATACCTTAATTTAATGTTCGAATTACCTAATAAAATTTTTGTACTTGAGCGATTCAAATTATACTAACCCTTGTGATAAATTTGGATTATGATATGGATATAGTTTATGAATTCATGTGCAAAATAACACTTATTTACATTTTACATTATATTCATATAAATCATGTGATAGAAATGTGATAAAATTCAAGTATTGCAAAGTCTCTTAACATGTATAAAAACTTAAAAGTGATATTAGTGTAACATAATATCTAAATTTTATGGTATATGATCTTGTGCTTCATTCACACGTGTGTAATTAGCCATAATCAAGATGTCATAATTTAGATCTTCAAAATGATAACATCCAAGAAACACTGAAAAACCACCTAATTAAATTTATGAAAGCTACTGTAATGCAAAATGATTACCTCATTATCATCACCAGAATGCCACGGATACCAAGGTTTAGTGCTTGGAAGCTGAAGACTTTTTAAGGCATACCTAGTTGATGCAACCTTGTTTGGAATCTAAGTTTTTTGTCAAGTTTGTCTGCTACAAGTTTTTTAAAAACTTTAGCTACAGTAATCTCAAAAAAAATTTCAAAATTTTTAAACTATACACTTCAAAATATTCAAAAATCTACACATTTCAAAAAAATTTTTTAAAAACTTCTATAGTAAGTTACAGTAAAGTTTTAGACAAACTCCCAAAAAACTCAGCTTCCAAACAGGGGTACATCTTGAGAAAAATTATTTGTTGGCAGGAGGGATAGGTTGAGTGGCATAGAACTAATAAAAGAAGAAAGTGTAATGAAAGATTCCAGTTTTGAGACCTTTTAGTTACACTTAAAAAAATTATTTGTTGCCACAGTCGCTGGCCTTTTTTTTTACTTCCAAAGAAATTGTACAATTTTATTTGTTTATATCATCAACACAATTTTCAACCGTCTTTTTATCTTTCATACAATACATTAAAAAAAAAAGTGCTACAGTGTTTATTTAAAAAATTTATCTCAAATAATTTACTATTCAAACACGCTAACAGAGGGAAGAAAGTGTAACCCGTGCATCCCAACTAGTAGATGGCCAGAGGGAAAGACAAAAATACCTCTTGTCTACCTTCCTTCCTTTTTTTTTTTTTTTTTTATAACCTCATGTCTACCCTTATTTGAAAGTTTGATATGATGGGGCAATTTGAGATATCTCAATTTACAAGCATCACACTAGCTAGGATGTATGGAAAATTAAAAGAAACCTTGGCATGCAAATTGTATTGGAGGGTTGCAAAAGGACCACTTTATCAAAGGTTGTGAACAATTTTTAGTTGATAGCAGCCTATACAGCAAGAGCCTGATGCCCTCTTTGCCGAGCTGATTAATGGTTGGCAGAATGGTATCTAATGGACCAGCCCATGAGTCGATATAACTGCACATTTTTTTGAGTAATGGAAGCAAATTAGAAGGTCAATTTATCTTGAATTTGCCCTGCAATGACTCCTGTCTCTGGTATTGCATGAATAGCGGATTGGACTTCTGCTGTTTAAAGATCATTGTTCACACTTGCATCAGTGCGAGGTCCACAAGTCTTTTCTAGTTTTCCTTAAAAAAAAAAAAAAAAGCCAGCAAAGAGCCATCTTAAATCTAATTGGTATCATGTTTTTCATCTACCCAAAAAGGAAAAAGCATGATCCATTCACTTGTTGACTCTCTGTTGGGCCTAATTGCAATATTTTGTCACTCAAATACCAAGGACCGTCCCTTCTTGGAGAGAATGGACTCCGTGTTGTTGGGTTCGTGCAATTTCGATCTGGTTGTTATACTCGTTACATTATTTGCTATACGATTGTTATGTTACATTTGTTTGGATAGTGTATTATTTGAAATAATTACTGTAACACTTTTTGTGATATAATGTATGTGAGATAAAAAGGTGATTGTAAATATAAAAAAGTAGATTGAGAAATGTGTTTGTGATGCAAACAAAATATTATTTAAAATAATTTTGGTATCCAAACACTGAAATAATTGTTATTTTTAGAGTAAAAGTGATAAATATAAATAAAATACTTGAAATATATTCAATATGACGTTAAAATGTATTTTTTTTGTAAATAAAAAGTTGAAACATGTATAATAATCAAACAAAATCGCACAAAACACGACCACACCGAATCCTTGTACATTGTTGAGGGACCAAATCTCCTTGGAAGTTGGAACCATTCCACTCAAGAGGTTTAAGGTCCTTAAATTGTTCTTAGTGCTTGAGAAAAGGGAAAATTAAGTTGCTTAATTACCAGACTAGCGGTGCCATTCTTGCAAAACACAGATACTGGTGCATATGTTATGTCGTTCATATGAATTAGACCAATCTCATTTCCAACTCTTTCTTGAAACTTCTCGCATTCTTGGATGACTTTCGATTTAGCACGTTGCAGTACTCGGTGACACCTTCGTGGCTCTCATCAGAGATCAAAGCGTGTAAACAAAATAGTTCACTAGCTAAGAATCATTTTTTCAGGCTTTAAACGTGCCTGCTAATGAGTGATGTCTAGCTGTTGAAGGAATTCTTTCATTATACATCAGCATGGTTATATATCACACGTTTTGGAATACTTCAGCATGGTTATATATCACACGTTTGAAAGTAGCCAACTCTCACATGAACCATCAAGGAATATTTTGCCCAAGCATCTTCTTCAAATATCGAGAGGTCCCAAGTTCGAGTCTCTGCTCTGCTGGATTCCTCCGCGCACATATCGTGCTTGGGTTGGGCTGGGCCGCTTGGTCGGGCCGCAGGGGATTAGTCGGGCTCCGTAAGGATTGACCTGGACACCCATGTGTAAACAAAAAAAAAATCTTCTTCAAATATCGTTTCAATCATTTTTTGTCCTGAAAATGTGGACCGGGTAAAAAAGCATCATAACCTAGGCCATGTGTGATAACCCAATTCAGTACTTCAAGTTAATAGAATCAGATCTTAACATATTCAGATCGTTTGATAACCAAAATTTGAATATTTGAATTAATTAAGTGACATTGAATTGTTTAGACAAAATTTGCTCTCAAAATTAAGTGATAAACTATTCACTTATCATTGAATGTGATATATACTGAAATGTATTAGATTTAATACTTAATAATTTAATAATTTAATTGATTCAAACTTCAGATTTCAGACTTCAATTTTTAGATTTCAGTTTTATCAAACAATTTTTAGATTTCAGTTTTATCAAATCCACCCTTAGTTTCTTATGAGACTATTTTGCTTAAGAAATGGGCAAAAAAACAAAAGCCACGCCTTATATATGTGCGCGCACGCTAGGGTTTCATTTTCTAGACTTGAGATGAAAGAGAACTGAAACTTGATTTGCGGTATTTTTCTTCTTCTGAATCTTGGGCAGAGTTCTACCAATTCTCATTCTTTTCCTCTATTTTTGGCCAAGTATAGTCCGTATGTAATAATAGAGATATTAAAATAGGTGATTCGAGTGAGTTTCAACAATCTATTTATACCTATTTACTAAATGGATATGGATATTATCTATTTATGATTCACTTGAAATAGAAATAACAACATATTCTATTGTTATTAGATTAGAAATTCAAGTTTATTTTTTAAAAATCTACCAAAAATTGTAATTATTTTTATATCAATGTAAACGAATAAAACAAGTCAACCCATCATCCATCAATTAAAAGGGTCTATAATTGAGTTACCCATTTAAACACATTCCAAAGGAAATTGCATATCCAAGTCCCTTGTGTCTTAAGTCCACTTATTTACGTCCCTTGTTGGCTTGCTCACTTGGTTCGAATAAGTCAATACAAATGGACTGTGATTGATACCTCTAGGTAATATGCAATACAGGAACGATGCCTAGAAACATTAATCTTGTACAGATGGTTGAACGAGAGTCCTCATATTGCAAGCCCATATCCCAATAATTCAAGAATCAATATCCACGGCAGAACAAATTGAAAGAGAACCTCATCAAAGAAAACAAAAGAAGGTGCATAGGACTTGTAATTTAAGACCATAACTTAAGCTGCTTCTGTAACAAACGTTGAGCAAATTCAGAACTATGGTTCTCAATTAGATGAGACCATTTAACATATTCCTCAAGGGAAAATACGAAAGAACAAAGCCTAATACTTGTGAATCTAGCTATCTATATTTCATCAAAGGTCACACCATCGGCACTTGCCCTCTCCCGATCCAACCAAATCACAGTCCGGAGGCACTTTCCCTCAATAAGTAACTTGAAAGCCTTGTTGATGTCTTCAAGCTTGATCTGGTGCGTGACAAACAAGTCCAGCTGAAGCTCCTGCATTGGTGTTCAAGATTTAAGCAATCAGGAACAGATGTCATTTTTTTGAATTTGTAAAGTTAATATGCTTAGGAAGATAAAGCCTAGAAAATGATTAGTACCTTGTCCAAATAACGCTTTCCAAGAATGGCAATATCAATATTAGGCTTGAGACCACCATATTGGACTCCTGTGATGGTCTTCCCACTATGATTATTCACTAGGGAGTTGAGGATAAACTTTGAATCTGGCTTGTCCACTCCTAATATAACGGTCTTGCCCCATCCCTGAAGTTAAAGATTGTACAGAAAATCTCATATTTTTAGTAGCTGCAAAACAGCAAGTTCTCTTTTCTTTCCATATTGTTTTCAAATGCTATAGGACAGATCAAGATGTGCAAAATTCAAGAG